ACAACCTGACCTAGGTTCGTCATTCCTTTTTAAAATATTTTTGTCAAGCGCATGCAGTCCGCTTCCAGTTGAAGGCAATTTCCACAACAAGAGGATGTAGGTTGGTCTCACATATCGAACATCATGACCGTTATTTGAAAGAAAGAGGAAAAAAGTAGGTATGACCGCGCACACACGTTGTTCTTACAGTTCTGGCGCACTTTGCAGAGGGTAGACATTGAAGAACACGGCTGCCTCCCGCTTTCTGTCCGACACGAGATTTCCAGACGAATTTACTGTCGATTCAGGCAAGCTCCAGAAGTGCTCTTCTATCATGTTTACTTGCGTGAAAGCGATGTCTGGTCTTACGGTATGCTGATGTCTGAGATCTACAACGACGGTAAAGTTCCATTTCACGACAAATCTGTGGCAGAGATTCGATCAAAGGTGAGGACATGCTCTGAAGCTAATGAGATGCGGATCACCAGGCGCCACACAACAACGCAAGCCATGCCATTTTTGATGGCGAGGCGACTCATTCTCTTCGCGCGTAGCATGGACGCACTAAGATAACCTCCCCTTCAAAAAGCGAGAAAGTGTCGGGTGCAGACCAAACACCACAACTGACGACGGCCTCCAAGTAAATCTGGTTAGAAGTTGTTCATAGTGATAGCTGATTTCTGGTAAATGATAGTTGTAATTAGTGACAATCGATAGAATACAACTGCAACAGGCTAATCATTTCATTGGCAGAAAACATTAACATTTTGTGAAGGCCGTCGTCACTTGTGGTGCATGGTCTGCACCCGACACTTTCTCGCTTTTTGAAGGGAGGTGTAAGTCACCATGCGACGTCCAAGTTTCCGCTGGTGATTTGGATGGCTGCCTCTGATCCAAACACAAAGAATGTTCACCAAGCCTCACCAATTTTCTTTCCAGATCTACGATCCAAAATTCCGCCCATTTGTGCCACCTATTATCAATTACCCAAACATACCGACGGTAAGTTCTAACAATTGGCAAGAGAGCTCAAGTGCAGCCACTAACGATCGCCTCGCAAATTCGCAAACTTATCATTTATAATTCGTTTTTCCACCTTCCTAAGCAATGCGAATTTTGATCGGTTCGTTGTTCATCGCGAGTGTCGCTACGCGACCGCTCGCGTCTGCACATGCGCAACTCACCGGAGTTCATCTATGATATCCCATTCGTATCAAGATGACGTGTGTACGATGGATTTGCAGCTTATGTCCCGATGTTGGGAGGTTGACGTTAAAAAAAGGCCAACAATGAGCGAAGCAGCCAAGCAGCTCAGGGGATACTGTATACAGTACGTTCTGCCAGTATCTTTGAATAGCTAGGTATTTGAACTTCTGTGAACCGTCCGAATTTCGTTTTTGAAATTGCGAGCATAACAAACGAAGTTTTTCTTACAAATCAATTCTTGTGCTTCATGAGCTTCGCATGAGAAGCCTGGCTGTGGCCAGAAGTTCTCATACTGGAATATTTTGAAACATGGCCGCTTTCAGTACGATTAAAGAAAAGCCGGTGTCCACGACAGATTCGAAGCAACAGCTCATCGAACAAGTGAAAACTCAAGGATGTGTAGAGGTTAAAAAATATTTCAACACGTAGGGAAGTAACACTTTTTGAATTCTCTACATGAAAATTTTCAGAGCATCACCGTTGGGTCGCGGATGGGACACAGCAAGCCGCCCATCAAGCATATTGTGAGTATATAAGGATAAGGATAAAGCATTTGCCGTTGATCAATCCCTTTTTGGGATGCGGCACGCATTCTACTTCCATTTGTACATTCGTAGTGGCGTTTGAATGCGATGTGGCCTATACAATGACTTGCGGGGCCAGCCGATGTACAAGTCAGTTTTTTTTATCCTCCCAGACAAGTCTGGTACCAATTAACCGACCCCGGAGGGATGGAAGGCTTGGTTGGCCCGGGCGACTCACGACCCAGGATTTGATCCCGGACCGCTCGCGTGGTGAGCGCGCCACTTGTCACTGCACCACTTCCGCCCTCTGGTGAGTACAGTCGCAGAAATTAAACAAGTCAATCCTATCTTATGACTAACTTAGAGAAAGAATCAGAACAGGCCTTTATGTAGAAACCTTGTGATTTTACCTTCTACAATGTTGATTAAACTTTTCTCCTCACAGGGTTAGGGGGAGTGGCCTCAAAAAAGGTATGACTGATTTATGTTGTATCCTAATTCTAGTACTCTAGACATGTTGGCGACAGATCTTCGACTCCTGTGCTTAGGGACCCTGTTATACTCGCGGAAAGAATTACTGGAAGGATATTATCATGACCCTTGCCTACCTTCCGCGGTCGGTGAGCCAATCAAATTGTGGCAAAGTCTGAATTTATGAGGTCACAGTAGTCATAGCCGCTTTAAGCGAGAGAGCGCAGGCGGTAGCGCCTGGGGCGGCTTAGAGGACCGAGTTCAAGAAGCCCATAGACCTTGCTATTCGGTCTGTCGTATGATTCCGCTGTGTCGCAATGCAACGGCCTGTTCCTCAAGGTGTCTGTGTCCTCGCTTCTGATAACTCAAAACTATAACTTCAATATCTCAAAACTATCACCACACTATTTCAGATTGTCGCTACTACGAAGGCTGTAGTCAACCACCAGAAGGTGAAAAACATGCATAATGAGGTCGTTTGACTTTTTTTTCAAAGAGAACTCTGTTGCAGCGATTGGACAATGTGTCGATTTACTCCACAACTGCCGCTGTTTCCCCGGACATAGACAGTTCCATTAAAAACCGATACCTTTCGACACTGTCAGAGATAATGGCAGCATAAAGAGGGGCTATAGGCATGCGTAGGTGTAAAAAAAGGATTCTGAACTGAGGAAAGGACACGGCTCAGAGAGCCTACGCAGTACCTCAAAATGGGCACTGGTTTTGCGCGCGTCTCATCCCTTTTCCCATGGTTGCATTTGAGATGCGGTCCAGAGCCCAAAATAGTCTTCCTTGCATCCCAGCTTTCTCCAGTTTTGACTCAACTCAATTCCTCACCGCTCAGAAGTCAAAAAATATCCTCGCTTCTACAGATTCAAACCTTAGACGCAGATTTAATGGACCATTCTATGCGAATTCAATCCTTCCTGAGTTCTCCAACCACTCAATTCGAGGTCCCAGTAAAAATAAAACTCTTTCACCTGAAAACCTTGTAGCAGAAGCAAAAAAACACAAACAGCCCTAATCCAGCTACGATCCTGCATTTGCTCTGTTTCAGGGGCAACCAAGAGTGGTAGACGAGAT